CAGAAATGAATTATACATTCAGTTAAATTAAAAGATTTGGCAACGATTGTACCACATTGCAAGGATCAATCATAATAAATGTATAAACCAGCTATTGGAAACAGATTTGGATTTGGTTTAACTTTACAATTCAATTTTTAAAATTAGTGCAATTGACATTATGTTTTTTGAATACCATTATATGTTTTTATTTATCAAATAGAAATGAAAAAGTATTCTACGCACAGATATACATGTATTATATATTTTAAGAAAGCATTTGATAAGAGCACCAGTTAAAAAATATACTCTCACACTCATAGGTTTACAAGTATGGGTTATTTTCTTATAGGGTGTCACAAAATGGCTGAACTTTATTGCTCTTATATAAATTACATGAAAAAAACAATTACACAGACTCTTTAGTTGTAATCGTTTGTAGATTAAATTTAGCTACATCAAAATTCATAAAAAATTCAAAATGTGGTGATGCTCAGACAAATGTGTAAATGGTTTATTGAATGGCACTTGTCTTACTTTGTATATATTTATAGAGAACTTTGTCATATAACTGTGAGTGAACACTCCGACTGCTCAAGTCAATAAAGCAGCAGTCATGCTTTCATCACAGATCACGTATTTGGCAGAGCCATTGGAACATGTGCGAAAACATCACCTTGAACTTGATTGCAATTTCTCACACTATTGTGTCAATCCACCTGTCTCATACAAATTATATTTACTTGCGTCATTGAAGACTGTTGCCATCTTCAATAAATATATTCATTGCCTTTCAATGGTATGGTTTGCCAATCAACAAACCCCAGAAATTACTGCCGAATTGTATATGCCCACTTTAATATAAATTTATGCACATTTCTACAATTATTGTATTATCAACAACTATTATAGTTGTATCAACATGGGAAATATACAACATCATGTCAATGCAATGTCTTGGCAAATTATAGTAAAATAGGCTTTATTTGACTAGTCCGTTTATTACGGTCATATAATCCAACGACACGGCTCTACTGTGATGTAAATCAGTTAAAGGAACACTGTTTCCTACGAAAATATTATCTCGATCAGTAGTGGTTCATCAATAAAAAAATATACTACTACTGTTGTTGTTGTTGTTGTTGTTGTTGTTGTTGTTGTTGTTGTTGTTGTTGTTGTTTTAGATATTTGCTATATTTTTAACGACGACTACACCACCAACATTTGGATAGTGTGTTGAATGATTATAAAATACACAGCCCTAAAGATGAAGTGTCATCTCGGAATACTTGTGAGCACGTGGTTATCAGTCACGTGGTGACAGTGCAATGTGTAGAAGATGGCAATGTACTGTGACATTATATCAGGGTAATTTAATTAGGTTTTTGTTTCAGTATCCAAGATGTACATGTGAAGATGTAAATTTCATTATGCAAACCGTTGACATTTAAAAGTTTGCCTTGGTTCACAAATTTACTACTGTCGCATACGACTTATTTACCACTTCCGTGTTACTGAGAATGTTCTAGAACCGTACTGTGTCTGGGTGGAATATTCTAGATTTTTTAAGAAACTGGTTGAATAAGTAATAGAACACTGTAGGAGGCAATAGAAGGTAATGGAACATTCTAGAAATTTATAGTAAATTCCAGACTCATTATGTATGCGGATGTAATGGTCTATTTATAGACAGTGTGGGTATATATAGGGGAGTTGTTCAGCACTGAGTTCAGATCGGAGATCTCGTTGAATTGTATTGGAGTTTAAGTATCTAGTCATTGGAGTAGTGGAGTTTTACCGCGTCATTGTACTTGATGTTTGCAGAGTATAATAATACCAGTACCCGTTGGAACCTAATCTGTTGGCTCCGTGTTCGTATGTTATCATCGCCGCCAGTGAAGTCTTTCTGTTACTTTTGCCATTTTGGTATTTGAACCATCACACCTGTACTATACCAATTACGGTAATATTACGTTACGTGTGACAACTACATACATGAATATAATAAATAAGAACTGAGCTAAAGTAGGTATGGATTAGTATACACCAGATGGGTCACAACAGTTAGGGATGTTACAAAACAACAGCTCCTTGCAGTACTATTAACATACAGTACAGAGAGCAATGAATCTTAGCCAGATGTTTTACAGGAAAGTAGGGTCTCGTATGAAAAATGCATCTGTCATATCTCAACATACGACATATACAACATAATTAAAGAAGTATTGCTGTACCTGTACGTAGGAATAATTGGGAGGACATTTAATTCGATTCAGAGATTTATTTGACAGTATGTTTTGATTAGAGAGGCAACATTGAAAGTTATCATGAATATCCCCTGTCCACATTTCGCAATTTTATTAGACTTTATAATAATGTTAAATTCTGACTTTACTAAATCCTACAAATTGGTTATATAGCTGCTAGTGAAAATGGTGTTGGCATATTTCATATCATAAAAATCAATTACAGAAATCGAGTGGGATTCTTTCTGTGAAGCATGTGGTGACAAAGTGGTCCAGGAATGTATTTTTGGAAAAATTTAAAACTAAAAACCGGAAGCTGTTTCATTGTAACCTATGCTCGTCATATTTCATGATTTTATGATTTTTTTGTGTATACTTTCAGTACAAAAATCATTTTCTTTTTTCAGTGGTTGTGGTTTTGTGATATCTAATTGTTGAATCACGTGTTCAGGCACTTAATGTATACATGGCCTGTTAGTGATGGATATCGCATGTAAATGTCACTCGTACTCTTGTGTGATTAGTTAATAAAATCGCTATGTTTTAGGTTCATGCTACAACTTGAATGTGAATTTGAAGAAAACTATTTTAAATAGAACGGCCACAGTTCCGAATCCTGCCGGACATGTTCTATATTATAGCGTCTGTGCTGGTAAAAAGTCTGTATAAGCTTGATGTTGAATAATCTTGGAAGAAAAACTGTGGTCTTTGTGGTAATGTGGTCATTGCAAGGTATATTGCCTACTTAAGTACCGTCAAGCTGTTGGATACCTGTCACACACAACTTACCATTTAAACCATGCATGTACTTGCAGGAAATTAAAACTTTACATTTGTACAATTTGTGGGACACATGTTCAACTACCTTTGACAACATACTGAGAGTGTAATTCCTGTTTTGCAATGTTTCGCTCACTTTAATCATAACGCATGTTCATGATTTTTACGAGTCCTTCATGGCCCAAAAAATGACCATTAATTCCTGCTAACGTACTCAATAGGGTATATCTAGATGTAATGACGTTAAAGATGAAATCAAGCTTGGTAGAATGCTAATGCCTAACATGTTTTTCTAAGAGCACTTAATTAAGAATAACAATTGAGTTTTCAGAAAATTTTATCAAAAATAAATATGAGAGGATTATTCAAAATGCATTCTTCAACCATCGCAAGTCTAAAATTGTCTTCAATTTTCCACTCACGTGTTTCACCACTAGATAATGAGATCTGATGTTACTCGTACTATGATGGATGACAGATGGTGTGTGGACAATAGGCGTGCCCCTTCCCGAATTTCTAGATCCACCAGTGCTTATAAATCAACTTATTACAACATTCATACTAAGTGCAAAGGCAGTGGCGGCAGCAAAAAATGTTGGGGGCGTCGTCCCTTCAAAAAGCTGAAACCCTTTGTGTCAGCAAAATTTGCCCCTCAAATTGCTGGAAATAAGTTTCAGAGGGTTTAGATTTCAATTTTTTTAACAGGGAGCATGCCCCAGACCCTCTAGTAAGGTCGCGCCTTTGGCATGACATTGTGAGCAGTTCTCCCTCCCTCATGCAAAATGTTGTGCCACTGCCACTGAAAGGCCAACTTGAAGTAATTATTAATACTTGATTTGTAAAGAAACAAATATTAGACAATTGAAATAATCTGTGGTAGGGTCCAAATTGAATGCAAAATACTTGTAAATTAAAGTTTTTAAATACGTGCTACGAGTGGTTTCATATAATCAATGGTAGCTCTACTTGTATTGTTATACGGAGTATGATGTCCATGCATGCTGCTTTGCGGAGATATACAGAAGTCTGCATCACAGTCAAGTTATTACAGAGAAAAGGTTAACTCAAACATTCTCTTTCAAGAATGATTGAGTGGATAGTGATGTCTGTGCTAAGCAAATTGGTGCGCAACTGACAAATAATCTACAGTTGGCCAACACTGGTTTCTCAACCAACCCAGTAATTGTTATGCAAATTAGGCAATTAATATGCATGGCTTTCAACCATAAACTAACCAGGTCATTACCCCAGAGCATATATGCACCAAGTTTCATTTAAATTCAGTTAGTGGTTCTTTAGATATCAGAGAAACGCATACCCACAGACAAATTAACTTCAAAGATTTCCATTGTGTGCAATGAACTATTTCAAAAACAGAAATTCCATAGCACCACTTGTGTGATATTTTATGTAAATGTTTTCAAACATGTCTAGTCCCCGGATAATTATGAAGTGGCTTTTCCCTTGTGTTTGTGAAATGTATTCCATCAACATGAGGACTTTCAATAATAGATACAATAATGCGTGTCTCTGAAGATCGTTACATGACAAGAACTGACACATGTCTCGGACACATTATATAATATAAATAGAAGATCATGATGCAACTGCCTTTCAATAATGAAAATGCATGCATTCAGATGAATGATGCATCCTTGTAGAAATAGTTTAACCCAACCAGTTTTAATCCAGAGACACGCATAGCAAACCGAGCTGGCAATGTTGTTATTCTGGTATCCAGAGCAATATGGCAGTGGCGGTAATAACGATAAAATTGTAACATACATGTAGACATGTCCTGTAATCTCCAACATGGAATATTGTGTCTATGGCAAAGTTTCCATATTTGCTCTTTTAGTAGCATCTGCACTTATTTAAATGTCAGAGGTACATGCACGTCTATGGTCAAAATAAGTTATACTTCTAAGAGAACAAACACAGTATGGCTGGCAATTGTCACCTGGTATGCATGTACAATAACAAATTACACATTCATAAGGACAACATAATATCTTTATTTCTCACTATCATAAAACAATGCATAGGTATGTTGGATACTTCATTCATAATTTAACTATATTACAATTAATATTAATTTATTTAAAAATAATTGCACTATATACTGTAGTATACATAACACGGGGCTGTGAATATCTGGGGGATCTATTCAATAATCACTTGATATTAGTCTCGGAAATTCGGTTACAACACTATAACTTACAAAAAAAATAATCTATTTTCACTTAAGTTATTATATTACCCGATACAGGTTTAATATCTGCTCAGTAAGAAAAAACTTTTCATTGCAAGCTGCAAAAAGATCTGTTCCTTTAATTAGGTCATAAATGTCATGCATCAAATCTATATCCTGTAGTACATGTCCACAGAACCCCCCCCCCTCTCTCTCGCTCTCCCCCTCCCCACCCACCATCTATGCACACACACATACACAGGTATCTCATGAAAGATGAAGTCATTAATTCAAATACAGTTAATTACATACATGAAATTTATGTTGGGTTTCAATTAAATTCCAGTTTAATTAAATTGAATTAACTTGAATTCAACTGAAATTAAATTCAATTTAATTAAACTGGAATTTAATGTAACCAGATAAATAGGTATGCTGTATATCAACCAAACTCTAAACTTAAATTGGCTTCTTTTTTATGGTAGTAATTCACTTGTATGATATATTCAATGAAATGGCTTCACTTTTCATGCAAATAACACACATTTCTGTTTGGCTAATGAGGCTGGTAATACAACAAATACCTTCAGCTCGGACAGCCATGAAATACAGTTGTATGTGGTGATTGGCCTCTGCAGATACAATCACACAGCAGGGCATCTAGAACCATACTACATACATTAGTGTGGTGTAATACCATGTCAGTGTGGTGTAATACCATGTCAGTGTGGTGTAATACCATGTCAGTGTGGTGTAATACCATGTCAGTGCGGTGTAATACCATGTCAGTGTGGTGTAATACCATGTCAGTGTGGTGTAATACCATGTCAGTGCGGTGTAATACCATGTCAGTGCGGTGTAATACCATGTCAGTGTGGTGTAATACCATGTCAGTGTGGTGTAATACCATGAAAGTGCGATGTAATACCATGAAAGTGTGGTATAATACCATACTGGTGTCAAGTAATAACATATTGCCGAGGTGTAATAATTTTACAGTTGAAGTGACAAGTTTGAGAAGCCCTATATGCATGCATACACACCACACCAAGTGGTAGCCTTAAGACAGATGCTCTAACAATACAAATACACATATTTGTACACTTTTAAAAACAAAATACTTACTTATACAAAATAACTATGTAAATTTACTTACAATAATAAAAAGTCACTCAGTAGCACCTTTATGCGAGAAGAAAGCATACAATATTGAGCTTAAAATATGCTGAGTTGTTTAAAAAAAACATTATATAAAATCCAACCATTGAGTCACTCTGGTATATTAAAGGCACTGATCCTGAATTCCCATTTTTAATGGTGTCACTCTGTTTTCTGTACCGATATCCAGAATTGCAAAGCATCACACCCAATTATAATAGTTTAAAAAACAAGGAGGAAGTGACCTCATAATAATGAAGTGAGATTACATATTGCAAGTACATTTGAAAATTCAGTGGTTTTACACTCAGAATCAATTTGCATTATGAAAACAAAGTGTATATCAGCACGTTTATTCATGAGCACTGAAATATAATACCTGAAATTGTCATCGCCATATTTGGATGTTTTCCCGAAGACAGTTGTGAGACTCCAAGTCAACTCACTTTGGAGAGCAATTCACTAAATACAAACAAGTAATTGATTATGACTGGCCTTATCAGCTGATTTCACCATATTGGGCAGATTATTAAGATTATATAAAAATGTAAATTAAATAAAAAAAAAAAAAAAAAAGGAAAGGGAGAAAAAATATCTACAGTGAATACAGTTTTTATAAAAGTTGTTGAAAATGTAGTAAAATATTTAAAAAAACATGTGAAATTTTGCATATTTTAAAATATCTGTACTATGCGATACACAAGTCAATTTTGCATAGATGATGGAGATACATTTGGTCAAACTAGCCTTCACAAAGTTTCAACTGCTGCGGCAAGAAATTACTTTTCGATAATGTTTTGGTGAAGTCACTACTAATAATTTCAGTCCTTTGCAAACGCATCATACATTGTCGTGTCTTACTGACATCCACAGCTTACTGTGTTCTTAATAAGGCTTTAAATGCAAATGAGCCAAACAAACATAACCATATAAGGCAAGACTTTTTTTTTTAGTATTGATAGAAACTGTAAAATATTGCAGGCTCTATCCACCCATTCAAAACAGATAGGTCTCTTCTAAACCTGTATTTAACAAAATCTAAATCATAATCCTCCTTCGTATTGTCATGATTAACATGCAAATGAGTATTTCCTTATATGGCAATATTAAGGACTATAAGAGGAAATTTGCAGCAAATTGTAATACAAAGTTGCTAACAGTAAATTAGTCTAGTTTCTGCAGATGCCTATACAGACTCTGTACGTATGTAAATACACATTTCCAATCAGGCTTGTTTCCCATCAATAACATGTCTTCGGTTTCCAACAGTGGCATGATGTCGGCTTTGGTTCTGTAATAAATTAATTATTCAAAATGGCAGTCACATTCATGAATATGCATGAGCAAGGAAACGCCACAAGGAAAGGAAGTGCACTAGTGCTACCATGAAGCTTACAAAACAGTGCATATTTTAATCAAAGTGAAAATAACAAGGGGTTTAATGGTCTAATGTCATATGTAAATGCCCTCGTCATGGTCATTTACTAATAGAGCAACCACAGTTTGCGTTTATTCTCATACTGATTTTATTTAACATACATGCATTTAAACATCTGGGGACAGAATTAGAGAATTTTAGTTAGCTCACCAAATCAAAGCATTTCCACTGCCTGGCAATCATATCACAGGTGAACCCAAATGCCGAAAACTTTAGGGAAAACTGTACTTTGGGGCTAGTGGTTGAAACTCTTGTGAACAGTGTGACAAGACTATCCTACATGTACATGTGCAACATATATAAATTAGGTTGTTCAGGATTATCTCATAGTTGAGTTTATGCTGTTTTCTCAACTTTAGCAGTTTTCACCAGCTCCTCAACTGGCACACTACATCAGCTCGCACAGATCCCATAGAAATGCATGGTACAGTGGTGTGCATCCAAGCAAACATTCTGTTACGTAGCTCCACCCCGAGAATATCAATAACATGATCAATGGATTTTTCTAAATTAGTTTGGACACTATTTTAACCTTATCACAAAACATTCAATTCAGACACTTACTCTGCTGTGTTGAATGCTAAATCAAAATTACGTCTTCTGTTCTTTGGGTTGAGTACCCGATAATCAAAGGCGTCTGGGAAGTAGTGATGTATGAGGGCACAGAATGCCATGCCGTTAGCCCAGCTGCTTGAGAAATTAGTGATCTCACAGTTCTGAAAAAAACAACTTATGTGATCAAACTTACAATCATAAGGAGAGGAACGAATGTTATTAATTGTGGATATTGAGCTGACTGCAGCAGTTTACAAGCAGTCAGATATCAAATGGGAGACGAAAATTGTATGATTCACTGATTCCGACTGGCCAGTGGCTAATAATCCAATGAAATTGGTGGCACAGACATATCCACACACATGCACGCCTACATGCACAAAAATTTGTGACAATTTAATTCTTCTGTACAACAATGTATACAATGTACACATGGAAATTGCATTGTTTGTTTACATGAAATTCGAGCAAACTATGGACTATGGTATTTCAAATAAACAGCCTACATAAAGGGCAGTCTGTCAGGTTTTAAAATGCTAAAAAAAATAGTTCTTCCCCAACGAGTGATACAGTAACTTAGATTTGTCACTCACCTCATAACCTGCAGTCCTTGCCTTACACCATTCTAGTAACATAGTTTTAATGGTGTTTGCATTCTGCACTCTCATTCCACCACGGGCAACACCTCCAGATGGTGCCCCGCCTTTAGATGCCCCACCAAACTTGTCCATGATGGAAGACCTCTTATTCCTAGATGACATGGCATCCATTTTCTTTCGTTCCATTGCTTCTTTTTGTCTGGTCATGAAATAATACGACAAATCAATGTGTGAATTTAGATTATGTATATTAATAATGCTATTGGCATAATTGGGATTATGTATATTAATGATGTTATTTGCATAATTGAATTATTCATATAAATGAAGTTATTTGCATAATGCTCAGTTAGATAATGCATAATAATGAACCTATTTCCATAATGCTCTGAAACTCCTTGATTAAAATATTTTCTCACAAAATAAAATTATGATTTTAATTTCAAAGTTTTGCCCCAATACAATAGATACAAATGTATAATAACATTACTAATATCATTAAAAGTACTGTCACTCTACCTTTTAAGAGCATCTTCTTTAAATTTGGCAGTGTCTGCCAACTGCTTTTCTTCACGTGCCTTTTTTCGTGCAGCAAGTTCTTCCTCAAATTTAGTCACTAGGATTAATGAGAAAATATTATTACAAATATTATAACGTTATAATTAATGCTAATGAATATATTATAATACTGGTATCCACCCATTTTAAAATTAAAATGCGGTGGTCGTCGGGCAGCGCGTGTTCAAATTTCATGTAAATAAATAATGTATTTTACACACGTTGGGTATGTCGCTATGAGTCCCATATTGTTGTGCCGCCCTTTAAATAGAAATTATAGTACTGTAAGTTGCATGTATGCTTGATGCCCTCCAACTATTTATTTCAATCAAAATGAACAGAAAATACCATGTGTTTCCACTTATGATAAGGGTAGTTTGTCAATAAGACTAAAATGAAAATGTAAGTCATTTGATTTAGGATGTGAAAGTTAATTTCGTAATCTGTGCATCAAAAACGCAATAAAAAACACGAACATGACATGGGTGAATGTAAAACATAAGGAGTGGAAATGTACATGAAAATGTGAACTGAACTATGGGTAGAACATCTTGTAGGGTTTGCACAAAATTGTGGTGGGGATGCACATTTTAATTAAAGAGCTGAAGATATCACTGAAAAACAAGTCATTGAAAATGACACAGTCCCCATAAAATTTTTGAAAGTTCTCTTTGTGCTAGTCATATTAAAGCAGAGGAGTTGTCGCGAGCATGTCCTTGAAACTTGAGTTCCAAGTGGCATATACAACAGATTGTGGTACAAAATGTACATAAATCTTGGAAATATAGTAGTAAGGCCAAAAACTAAGATGGCTGTCAATCGACCATCCTTGATCCAATTTTGAAACAAATTGTCCTGGACATGCATCCCAACATGTATAAAGTATGTGCCAAATTTGAATGAAAACTGACAAAGCATGTCCAAGATACCACATATAAAAAACAAAACAAGATGCCTGCCAGTCGGCCATCTTTGATCCAATTGTGAAAGAAATTGTCATGGACATGTATCCTAACATGTATAATATATGTACCAAATTTGAATGAAAACTGACATAGAACATTTTTCAAACAAGCAGCCTATCGGCTGAGATAGCTCTGCTGTTAGCAATGCACATTTCAATTAAAAAACTGAAGACATCATTAGAAAATGAACAATATGAATAGTATCAAAGCAATCGGACTTACAGTTTTTAACGAGAAGTCGAAAATATCACTTTTTACCAAAAATTACAAAAATATTCACCAAAATAAATTAATTAGAGAATTGAAGATATCATCACAAAATGAACAAATCTGAGAGAGGTCCACATGTAGTACCTATATATGTAATATCAAAGCAATCAAACTTGCGGTTTTTAACAAGAAGTCGAAAATATCACTTTTTACCAAAAATGGCAAAAATATTCACCAAAATTAGAGAATTAAAGATATCATTACAAAATGAACAAATCTGAGAGAGGTCCACATGTAGTACCTATATATGTAATATCAAAGCAATTGCACTTGCGGTTTTTAACAAGTCGTCGAAAATATCACTTTTTACCAAAAATGACAAAAATATTCACCAAAATTAGAGAATTAAAGATATCAACATGAAATGAACAAACCTAAGAGAGGTCTACCCAAGGTACATATACACCAAGTATCAAAGCATTCAGGCTTGTAGTTTTCAAGAAGAAGTCGAAAAAGTAAAACATTGACACGGACGACGACGGACAATCACTCATATGATAAGCTTCGCTCGACAAAGTCGACAGCGGAGCTAAAAACAGACGACCATTTTGAATCAAATCGCTAAACCACTGCATGTGCATATGTCCCACATAAAGTAATAGGCACATGCAAATAATGAACGTAATCGGTCCAAAGAATTCTGAAATATGACTCTGGACGGACTGACGCACGAACAGACGGATGGACGCACGGACGGTCGGAGGACATGTATCCTAACATGTATAATCTATGTACCAAATATGAATGAAAACTGACAAAGTATGTCCAAAATAAGACATTTTCAAAAAACAAGATGGCTGCCAGTTGGCCATTGTTAATCGAATCAATAAACCACTGCATGTGCATATGTCCCACATAAAGTACTAGGCAAATGCAAAGAATGAACGGATTCGGTCCGAAGGATTCTGAGATATGACTCCGGACGAACGAACGCACAAGCGCACAGAGACTGAATTATAAGTCCCTGTTTTCGGACATCATCCGAACTGGGACTAATTAACAATATGTATAGTATCAAAGCAATCGGACTTGCATTTTCAACAAGAATTTGAAAATATCACTTTTCACCAAAAATGACAAACAAGCAGCCTCTCGGCTGAGATAGCTCCGCTGTTAGCAATGCACATTTCAATTAAAGAACAGAAGATATCATTAGAAAATGAACAATATGCATAGAATTCAAAAATATAATTTTTAACCATAAATGATTGTGGTTTTTAACAAGAAGAAAATATCACTTTTTACCAAAAATGACAAAAATATTCATCAAAATTAGAGTATTGAAGATATCATCATGATATGAACAAATTTGAAAGTGATCCATATGTAGTATCTTTATATGTAATATCAAAGCAAATGGACTTGTCGTTTTTAACAAGAAGTAGAAAATATCACTTTTTATCAAAAATGACAAAAATATTCACCAAATTTAGAGAATTAAAGATATCATTACAAATTGAACAAATCTTAGAGAGGTCCACATGTAGTACCTATATATGTAATATCAAAGCAATTAGACTTGCCGTTTTTAACAAGAAGTCGAAAATAACACTTTTTACCAAAAATGACAAAAATATTCACCAAATTTAGAGAATTAAAGATATCATTACAAATTGAACAAATCTGAGAGAGGTCCACATGTAGTACCTATATATGTAATATCAAGGTAATTGGACTTGCTGTTTTTAACAAGAAGTCGAAAATATCACTTTTTACCAAAAATGACAAAAATATTCACCAAAATTAGAGAATTAAAGATATCAACATGAAATGAACAAACCTAAGAGAGGTCTACCCAAGGTACATATAGACCAAGTATCAAAGCATTCAGGCTAGTAGTTTTCAAGAAGAAGTCGAAAAAGTAAAACATTGACACGGACGATGACGTCAGAGACGGACGACGACGGACGATGACGTCAGAGACGGACGACGACGGACAATCACTCATATGATAAGCTCCGCTTGACAAAGCCGACAGCGGAGCTAAAAAGTTGACAAGGACGACACTCGTATGATAAGCTGCGCTCGACCAAGTCGACAGCGGAGCTAAAAAGTGTAACAAATATTGCCAATTAATGGGAAGTGAAGTCTTGTGATTCACTTATTTCAGAATCTTACACTGCCTTCATGTTTGTATTCCTTGTACATATACATTCCTTGTAATATAAATTAGGTCCCTCAACTTTGAAGCCAACAAAACTTACATTTTTTGCCTCCTGTGCCAACGCTGCTTGTTGTGGAAACTGAAGTCTTACTGACAGACATGGAACTTCCACCACTCCCTGAAAACATGTACAGATAACAAACGTGATGAGAAGGTGAATTGCAGCCATATTCATTGTGATACTACTTACAAACAGTAACTGTAGAATTTTAGATTATCAGTGATTTCAATACAAAAATACACCCAGAATAAACTTGCCACAGACTACATGTACATGTATATCACATTATATTATATTCATTGAAAATTGTTTAGGTTATTGTAAGGCCATAGAAAGAAAAACACAAATGTTTCTGGTCACAAATTGTTGTTTTTAAGAATTTGGTGAGATGAGGCAATTTCTATTTAACAGTTCACAAAGTTTGCCAATAGAGGGCGCTGTGCAATAAAATAAATTATAAGGGCATAGTAATGTGTAAGAAGGGTGAAGACTAATCTATGTTAGTTTTGGGAACATCTGCTCAATTTAACATTTCACGATATCTAAATACTCATTTGTACAAGAAAGTATGTACAATAATAAATTCACAGAAAAAAAAATTGCTGAAAAAAAATATTTTAAAGCACAAGTTAGGGATAGAATTTGTTGGGGAGGGGGAGCAGACGTTTTGGCATATTGAAGATATCCTGAATAAAATAAGCATACTCCCAAGATTGATAAATTCATACTATAGACTTGTATAAACACAAAATGATTTATACAAATAATTCCTAATATTAAATAATTATTGTTGATATGTATTCTCATTTGCATTATGAATGATGAATCACCAACAGTGGTGTCATAAAATGATACAACTTCCATTAGTTTTCACATTCAGATACAAATATGTAAATATGGAATATCTCAACTATGTACCTTTAGATGAGACCATGGTTTCCTGTTCAACTGTCTTTGATTGGGTGCCGCCATCTGAAAAGAAATCAGTGAATGAATTTTACAGAATGCACTATAACTTACTCTGAGTACAAATTAAGCCCTGGACCATTTCACAAAATGTATATATACTGTTTTTTATTGTTGTATCAAGTCTGTATTATCAAGTTACATTTTAAGTCAAGTTGAGTCAAAGCATTTATACAAAGACATGGTTTGATTTGTTGAAAGAACCTGTTAAAATTAAGCTGCTTTCTCATTGGCTTGACTGTAAGGTGCTTGGGTTGCCAATCAGGAACAGCCACTTAGACTCGGCTCCAAATTTGAACAAGCAGCCTCTCGGCTGAGATAGCTCCACTGTTAGCAACGCACATTTCAATTAAAAAACTGAAATGAACAAATCTGAGAGAGGTCTATCTGCCGTACCTATATGTATAATATCAAAGCAATCAGACTTTTTTAATAAGAAGTCGATAATATAACTTTTTTCCCAAAAATGAGAACAATATTCACCAAAATTAGAGAATTTAAGATATCATCATGAAATGAACAAATCTGAGAGAGGTCTACCCAAGGTACATAAACACCAAGTATCAAAGCATTCAGGCTTGTAGTGTTCAAGAAGAAGTCGGAAAAGTAAAAAGTTGACACGGACGACGGATATCACTCGTATGATAAGCTCCGCTCGACAAAGTTGACAGTGGATCTAAAAAAGAGACATTGAGTGCAACGGCAAGCATTTTGACACCTATACCAACCTTTGGATTCTGTGATGGTTGTGGTTCTCTTGGCCGTCGTTCCTCCAGCTGTCTTTTCTTCTGTGGTTGTAGTTTTAGAAATTGTACCTCCAGTATTTGTGGTAATAGTGTTAGCATTCTTCTCTGTGCTCACTGTGTTGTTATTGTTTACTGTTATTGATGCTTTGGGTACCCCAAGTCCAACCGCTTCACGAATCTTCAGGTCCTTTGCATGTATTCTCTCTCGTTTCTCTTTTTCCCAATTCTTTTCTTTCTGTAATAATCTATTTTCCCTTTCCTCTGAAATGATAAAAAGAAAAGAAATAAGGAATTCACTGTGTAAATATCAGTATATTTTCTAGTTGGCCAATAGGAGTGCATACACATTACTTGTTGAGAAAGTGTGGTTAAGGTAGTTTGCTGTCAATAAAAAACAAACTCAGAAATTCAGCAAGAGAGGTTGGGTTACTGTACTGTTTTTCAGAAAATGACCTCAAAAATTCATCAAAAATGGATTTTTTTGAATAGCTTACAATTGATTTATATGGCAGAAACATTCCATCATGTCTCATATGTGTAGGCTGTTTTGAATATTAGTATAAGTTGTCCATAGAATAATGTGTTTACATTGAATCCTATAGAAAATGCAAAATGGTTGTTTTTTTAGATTATTTTGCATATGTTTTCTTTGCAAACACATTAAATATAAATGACATGCATGTATGTGAATCATCACACAACAATTTTTGAATGATTTACTGTGATCATTTTTTGTTCATGTTTTAATGGCAGTGAACTATCTTAATTTAATTTGAACTGTCCTATGTTTACCTTTCTTTTTCTTCCTGATTTCTCGAAGCCTTGATCTTATCGCTCTCCGGTCATCAAAGTCCGTGGTGGCATCCAGCTGAAGAAAGAAAAAGAGTTATAGAAATTTTAAGCTTTCCATTGATGAAAAGATGAAAGGACTTGTCAGGAACACCAGAGTGTGTCATATGTCGGCACAGCACCACCAAGTGGCAGAGTTTGGTGAAACTGTTGTTTTTTATTTTGTTCATTGCAGCTATAAATGTCATGCTGCTATCGGGTTCATAAGGTGGAATTTTTTACTTATTAAGAGCTTCTGAACATTTTTTAAATATACGAACACTATAATTTAAATTGTATCGATGAAAACAAATTATTATGAAAGCAAAACGTGACAGATGCTGGGTATACATCGTACACCCAACTGTTACTGTGTGGTTTCCATGATTTTCACAATTTTATATATTATATTTATTTCGTACAAAAACTTGACTAAGCAAATCCAAAATGTGGAAATGGTTGTGATATCAAAAAATTTCAAAACATTGACAGACGTGGGACCCACTCCAGTCCTTGTAAATCCAATTCTTTCATTGTGATCTATTACAATGTAGTTGTTCAAATTAAATCAATTGATCCACTACAGATAACGTTTTGATCCACTACAGATAACGTTCTATCAATAATGACGTAATCCAGTTTCCTAGATTAATGCATCAGCTATAATCTGAGTTGGTATGCAAGGCTAAGCAATGAAAGATAAGTAACAATGCAACATATTTGAAATGGCATGCAGCAATGGACTACTACCAAATGTACATTCATTAGAAACTGCTGATTTGATTCAGATATCACTGATTTAGATAGACCGGTTATTTCCAAATACAACAGAAATTTGACAAAATTGTTTGTAAAACAACTCACCATTGTTTCCAGCTCAGCTTCATCCTCAATATGTGCAACTGCCGGCGGGGCCATTTCGCTGTCGTTCTTCACTTCTTCCCCTTTATGCGTGGCCTCCAAGGCGTCTTTCTCTTTACCACTGTCTGCTCCGTGGAATTTTCCACCTGTGCCAAATCTCTGCGTCTTCTTGAAAAAATTAAATGAAAGCACATTTAGGTTACAATGATTTTAACTTTATGATGATAAGACACTGTATATTCACTGACCAGCTTCGAATAAGGGGCCGGTTTGAATCTATGGACAAGTTCTGAACATTGCGAGGAATTCTTGCTATGGAGGTCAGGTTGTTTTGTAATGCCACACAACGCATGGAGCATATCACATGACATTATCCATTGTCTCTATCTTTCATTTTTTATTTTGATCTGTTAGACTAACAGTGTTGTCATTCTGTGAATAATTAACTTTTCTGTGTACTGTTTTACAAGGCAAATGTTTTAAGTAAAGCTGTTTATATATAAAACAAATTGTCATAATTTCAAATGCCAGCCCAGAAAATTATTTATTACAAGCTCATTTAACTTTCCTGCAGATTCAATACATGGTTTAGAATCGGGATACACAGGGTTTGTTGTAATACAACACAGCATGTATTAGCCGTTGAAATTGGTTGCTGCTACGCTGAGATCGATCGCTGCTATGCTGAGAGGAAGGGAATGATTTAATCACTTTACAATATCAATTTATTTGGCCTCACAGTAGTATAAAAAACTGTATTAGAAGCTGCAGCTGCAGATTGTGATTTTTTGGTTCTCAATTGTTCAAAAAGAACGAGTTCAGCTTGTGATACAGACTTTACATACATATGCATGCCTGCCTGCTAACAGCCCTGGTACATGGATAACATTGATTTTAATGGTCTAACAGAATATTGAATCTCCTATCACAACAACTACCAGGCATTTAACAATCATATCGATTTCATTTTTATCACATCATTGAACCCTGCAAAGGTCTCCATAAAACCACAGCCATACACCCAAGTGATATATACTGATACAAGCAGGTGGCATCATTACAGACTTCAACTGGTTCTAATTTTAGACTTTAGTCCTGATCCCAATGTTACACACAGGCCTGGTGCTCAAATACTAATTCCATAGTTTCAGAGAGGTCAAATTTATTATGACCTTAGTACATGTGTATATGTGTGACCTTCTCTTACATACAAAATGAAATAGAAGCAGACCCCTATCAAGAATTGGAATAGATGTAGATCCTTATCTTGGAATGGAATTGATGTAAACCCCTCATCATGCAATGGAATTGATGTAAACCCCTTATACAATTAAATAGATGTAAACCCCTTATCATGCAATGGAATTGATGTAAACCCATTATACAATGGAATAGATGTAAACCCCTTATCATGCAATGGAATACATGTAAACCCCTCATAATGCAATGGAATTGATGTAAACCCCTCATAATGCAATGGAATTGATGTAAACCCCTTATCATACAATGGAATTGATGTAAACCCCTTATCATGCAATGGAATTGATGTAAACCCCTTATCATGCAATGGAATTGATGTAAACCCCTCATCATGCAATGGAATTGATGTAAACCCCTCATCATGCAATGGAATTGATGTAAACCCCTCATCATGCAATGGAATTGATGTAAACCCCTTATACAATGGAATAGATGTAAACCCCTTATACAATGGAATAGATGTAAACCCCTTATCATGCAATGGAATTGATGTAAACCCCTTATACAATGGAATTGATGTAAACCCCTTATACAATGGAATAGATGTAAACCCCTTATACAATGGAATAGATGTAAACCCCTTATCATGCAATGGAATTGATGTAAACCCCTTATACAATGGAATTGATGTAAACCCCTTATACAATGGAATAGATGTAAACCCCTTATACAATGGAATAGATGTAAACCCCTTATACAATGGAATAGATGTAAACCCCTTATCATGCAATGGAATTGATGTAAACCCCTTATCATGCAATGGAATTGATGTAAACCCCTTATCATACAATGGAATTGATGTAAACCCCTTATCATGCAACGGAATTGATGTAAACCCCTTATCATGCAATGGAATTGATGTAAACCCCTCATCATGCAATGGAATTGATGTAAAACCCTTATCATACAATGGAATTGATGTAAACCCCTTATCATGCAATGGAATTGATGTAAACCCCTCATCATGCAATGGAATAGATGTAAACCCTTTATCATACAATAGAATAGATGTAAACCCCTTATACAATGGAATAGATGTAAACCCCTTATCATACAATGGAATTGATGTAAACCCCTTATCATGCAATGGAATTGATGTAAACCCCTCATCATACAATGGAATTGATGTAAACCCCTTATCATGCAATGGAATAGATGTAAACCCTTTATCATACAATGGAATAGATGTAAACCCCTTATACAATGGAATAGATGTAAACCCCTTATCATACAATGGAATTGATGTAAACCCCTTATCATACAATGGAATTGATGTAAACCCCTCATCATACAATGGAATTGATGTAAACCCCTCATCATGCAATGGAATTGATGTAAACCCCTTATCATACAATGGAATAGATGTAAACCCCTTATCATACAATGGAATTGATGTAAACCCCTTATCATGCAATGGAATTGATGTAAACCCCTCATCATACAATGGAATTGATGTAAACCCCTCATCATGCAATGGAATTGATGTAAACCCCTTATCATGCAATGGAATGGATGTAAACCACTTATCATGCAATGGAATTGATGTAAACCCCTTATCATGCAA